TATTTAAAAATAAACAATCCTTTTTAACAAAAAACAATAACAGTAACAATAAATACCTTAGTATATATATAAAAGAAGTTATCGAAACTGCTGCTATGATCAATCCATAAATGAAAAACACACTCAAATCAACTACCACAAACACAAATACCCAAATCATAAATCAATCATTGTGAAAATTGCCAAAATGCTGCTTCTTTTTTACTTTAACCTGTGTTTTTCATTAAACCAATAATAACATGGAAATAAAAAAAAAAATGAAAAAATGAAAAATTTTTAAATTAAATATTTTATAAAAAAAAAAAAATTTTATTTTTATAAATTGGTGATAAATAATTTTTTCTCAAAAAATAGGACATGTTAATATTTTGCTTTTGCAAATAAAAAATTTTGGTGGTAAAAATTTAGTAAGAAATTATGAAAAAAGATAAAATCATATTATTTTTTGCATCAAAAGAAATAACTATTTTGAAAAAGAAATAAATAAAAAATAAAAACAATTTATTGAGCATTAATATTTTATTAATATTGCAATATTTTTTCTCTTTCTAAAATAAAGATTTTTTTATTTTGCAAAAAAAAAAATATTTTTTTCATTTTTTTTTATTTTTTTTTTTATCAACCCAATTTTATTTATTTAAATTATATTTCCAATATTATATTTATTTTAATTATTTATTTTAAAAAATAATCAGATAATAATAAATAACAACATCATTAAAATTTCCCAATTGAAATCATTTTAACTCTCGATAAAGTTCATTAAAAAAAATTCGGTATACAAAATATTGATATTCTCTATCCAAATACTTATTAAATAAAAAAACTAAAAATCATATTTTTTAAATATAAATTAAATCCCATTTTAATAAATTTAATTATATGCTATATCAAATAAAATTGAATTCTATTTTTTTGATTAAAATTTTTAAAAAATAATTTTATCATTTTCATAAAAAATAATTTTTTTAAAAATTTAAAAAAAAAAATTTTCAAAATAATTTTGAAAAAATCAACAAACCAAAAATTTTTGGATTTTTTTTTTTTTTTTTGAATTAATTTTGTTAATAATCATCACCCAGGACAATATTCAAATATAAAAAAAAAAACAGCAATATATGTATTGAAAAATAATTAATTTTTATTATGATTATCAATTTTTTGATTTTAAAAATATCCATCTTTAAAATTCCCAAAATTGTTTTTAAATTTTTTAATTTTTTAAAAATTATTATCTTTTTAAAAAAATATTAATATGTATTGGGTGTTTTGTATTTTTTTTTTATGAAAAAAATTAAAAAAAAATTTTAAATTATTTTAATTTTTTTCGAAAAAAAAAAAATTTTAATTATTTGGAGATATTTTTCAAACTGCACAGCAATTATCACTTTCATCATTAATAATAACAATCGTTATTACTCATCATTTCTTTCACCTATAAAATTATAATAGTTATTTAATATTATTGCTTTAATATAATATATAATTTTTAAAAATGAAAAATAAACAATATTAAAAAAAAAAAAAAAATATCAAATAAATGGGTTGATTTAAAAATAAATTATGTT